CCAAATAATAGAGTATTTTTATCCTGGATGTGTTTTATCTTGTTACCGGTGTATATCTCCTACTGTACTGACAATAATTAGGTTATAATACATGTATACACCGGTTTTATTATCATTATTAAAAAATAAACGCTGTGAATATTAACACTCCTACATCTTTTTATAAAAACGGATAAACTTATTTACCTTATATACGGTACGTACTTAACAAACTATTGTCCGTCTTCTCATACAGGCGGATAAACTTATAAACGTAGGTCACAAACTACATGTATCCTCCATAAAGGCGGATCAACTTACGCACCTACCTACGTAACAAACTATCTCAATTAAAGTTTAGTCCAAACCCAGGAACTAAGATTACTTTTTTAATTTTTGCGAAAAAAAAAAATCTTTTTATCTTAATGGACGAATAATTTATGTGAAGTTATTAATTAAAGTTTGAACTTAATAAACTCCGGATAGTTCAACCATGGATCTAAGAAGTTTACTTTTTTAGCTTTTATGAGGAAATTTTCATCTTTTTGTTTTTATTGAACTTAATAAACTATGTCCCCAGATAGTTGAACCAAGGATCTAAGAAGTTTACTTTTTTAGCTTTTACGAGGAAATTTCATCTTTTTGGTTATATGCACGAAAAAATATTCCCTATCGATGAACTATGACTACTTTTTCACCTTTTGTGCGGAATTTTTTCTTCTTTTTTTTTTTTTAATGTACGAAATAATTCTCAAGTTGTTATTACGTCAGAACTTAATAACCTATGTCACCGGATCTAGTCCAACTGATCAACTAAGAAAGCTACTTTTTAGTTTTTACTAGGAATTTTTTTTTTCTATTTTAAATAAAAGAATAATTCTTGAGCACTTATTAATCAAAGTCAGAACATGGGTTCACAAGCAGACATCATAAAAATATAGAATTTCAAATTTTTAGAAATTGGGTTTAACATCCACTCACCAAAAACAAGGTCATTTCGGGACTAACATATGGAGGTTGGACAGGCGACCCTACTAGTTTTTACTAGGAATCGAAACCACGGCAGTTGTCTCAATGACAGACCTTATGATACAAAGCGCATGCACTAACCATTCGGCCATTCAACCTCCCATGTCATGTTATATAACAAATTAACCAAGACTAATTAATGTTACTTTATAAAAATACGGATTTACTAAAAACGTGTGACTCGTCTGTGCCTCCGGTGTAATAATACATGTGAAGTCGTAGAACGTGAACAAAGCAGAATTAATATTGATTTTTATACTCAAACAAGACACCATAACTAATTACACAACTAATCTCAAATTTGTTTACGGCTTTTGTTTGATTACATTTCATTGTTTTGTTTGCGAAAATGATAGACAAATGTAAGTTAATTTATGAATACTGTCCCTTTGTTTTGAAATGTTTTAATTATGCCAGCAGATAAGAGGAAGTAATTAGCTCGTGAGACATTCACAACATTTATGAATTCGTGTTGTCTTTGTTTTGAAACAGTCGGTATAATCAAGCCAGAGGATAAAAGAGGAAGTTATCTCGTACAACACTAACAGGGGACGTTAGCCTGTACGATATTAACAATAAAGGACAGTCAACCCAACTCAAGTCATTTGTCGTGGAAAATAGAATCAATATGAGACAAGAATCTAATACAGTTTTATATGGAGTCAATTCTTTTAATTGGCAGACGTAAACTAGGGATATTAACGTTAAATTGTCGCGATATTCTAATACACAAGGAAGACATAAAACAACTCAAATAATAAGCCATTTATTCGTAACTTTATCGAATTAAATTATCCATTTTTAATGTAAATGAATTGTCGCAAAATTCAATAAAGTCTGAAAATTTAATTCAGGTTTGACAGCACAAAGATCTGAATAATTCATGAGAGTAGTTGGAAATGAAATGAAATGGGGTTTAACGTCCTACTGTTCTGCTCCGAATTGGGCTAATCAAGATGGGCATACGCCATACAGTGTGCTATAGGGGAAATTTTGCAGGGACAGCGGCATTATGGCCTACTTTTATATAGAATTCCAACTGTCAAGGGATCTTTTACGTGCACGCCAATGTGTACACGGGACCTTGGTTTGCCGTACCATCCGAACGACAGGACCGCTGTATCATAAAGTCTGTCATTGAGTCGACTGGCGTGGTTTCGAATCCCCGGTTGTACATGTACATGGCAAGGAGTAGGGTCGCCTGTCCAACCTCGCAGGTTTTCTCCGGGGCCTCTGGTTTCCTCCCACTGCTAAAGACCCCTATGCGCAAGCGAATTATTTAAATAAAATTAAACCATATGTTAGTCCCGAAATGACCTAGTTTGTGTCGAGTGGACGTTAAACCATCTCTCTCTCTCTCTCTCTCCCTTCTCTCTCTCCCATATTTTATTTCAATAATATGGTTCAATTTTATTTCAATAATTCATTTGTGCTGTAGGGTTCTATAGCAGTGGGAGTAAACCGGGGGACCTGGGGAAAACCCAAGGGGTAAGACAGACGACTGTACTCATTGTCACATACAATCAGAGAAATCAATACGTCTGCTATTAGTTGGTATGTACTAGATAGTTACTAAGAGTCAGTCGCCACGACTTCAATAGATAACATATCAACTAGTATTATCTCATTCCCAGTGAACCCTGCGTCTGCCAGACAAAACTCAATCGCAGAATTTAAGACAGCCAAGATGATAAATTAGATCAATCGTTTTAATTCATAACCCCTTCGGACATTTGACCCAGTTCCTCCATTAGGCGACCTCAATATTGGTACGAATCAATATATTGTTGAAATGCGGTGGTCAATGACTCACATAACCTCGTCTAGAACTAGTTTAAAGAAACTGAATGACAATTCTATCACGAGCACAGTTTTATCTGAATAAAATGTCAATGATCTTTTCCGTGATTCAGAGAAATCTATATTTTAAAAAAATTAAATCTGTTTTCTGTCCTGTAGGTTTTTATTGACCTATTAGCAAAGGCAACATGTCGTGTGTGTAATTGTCCTAATATGGTATCACCGAGAGCTTAAAAACAAGAATGAAGCCAATGAGTGCGCAAGATAAAATTAAAACAAATTCATGTATATGAAGAAATTATAACAGGTTAGTATTAAAAAGGAAGTGATGCTATAAAAAAAATTATGTTTTAAACAAATGAAATGAGAGAGAGAGATAGAGAGAGAGAGAGAGAGAGAGAAAGAGAGAGAGAGAGAGAGAGAGAGAGAGGGTTTAACGTCCACTCCACACAAACTTGGTCATTTCGGGACTAACATACGGTTCAATTTTATTTCAATAACTCGCATGTGCGTAGGGGTCTTTAGCGGCGGGAGGAAACCGACATAAACTAGGTCATTTTGTTACTAACATATAGTACAATTTTATTTCATTAATTCATCCGTATTTCTACATCTTTGGCAGTGGGGAAAAACCTGTAGGATCCAGAAATAACCCACGAGGTTGAACAGGGGATCCTACTCCTTGTCACGTACAAGCTGAAGACGAAACCACACCAGTTGACTCAATGACAGACCTTATTATCTAACAGACAGGAGAGAGAGGGAGAAATGGGGTTTAATGTCCACTAGATGTCAATAATTCGCTTGCGTGTGGGAGTCTTTAGGAGTGGGAGGAAAATGGAGAACCTGATGAAAACCCACAAGGTTTGACAGGCAACCCTACTCCTTGCCACTAACACTAAAGAAAACATGTGTTAAACCATACATGTAAATAAAATGAATGTATTAGTTTTATGCAGAGACTCGGCTGATGGAGCATGGCATATGAATGCCAAACTGTGTGCTATGAACGTCATTTTGCCCTGGGGCCTGTTTCACAAAATTTTAACTAAGATAAAATCCAAATTTTAGTAATTTGATTGGATAATATTAGATTGATTTTAGTGCTAAGCCAAACAAAATTTGGATTTTATCTTTAGCTAAGATTTCGAGAAACGGGGCCCTGGTGTATAGTACTTCCAATTTCGACTGCTAAGCGGTATACATCACAGGACATCATACAATTAAACTTAATTTAATTTTATTAGGTCACCATTATCATTTATTTATAATAACAAATTTAATATGTTATTCTCTTCAATATGTTATTATCTTTAAAGGGGCATTTTGGGAGATTAGATAAAGAGTTGACAATTCTCGCTATAATAATTAAAAAAAAAAAAAATAGATAATGTAAATAGAATATGCTGAAAATTTCAGTCAAATTGCTCCACTCTGAACCGAGATATTAGCTTTGTAATTTTAGGCCTAGCCTCGATCATCATTAGTAAAATCGGTACGACAAAAAACAAAGTCACGATTATCCATTTTTACGTTTAATTATCTTTCAAAAAATGGATTTCAATCTGCTTAATACCACAGGCTAGCAATGGCATCGAGAGTTGATTATGGTCTGGATAAGTTAATTAATGTCTAATTAATAATTTATATAACATTTCAGGTCTAAAGAAAGATCTGCGATAGGCAGATTTAGCTCTTGCATAATGTATGTTTAATTTAATATATATATTGTGATAATTTTCAGTCTAAAATATATTATGATAATTCAATATACATTGTAATTTTTTTTCATTCAATAAGTATTGTAACTGCTCTTTGAGCATGCTTTGTCATGGAAACAGCTCATCGTAAATAGATGTTATTATCATTGTCAGCCGTTTTTAATTCAATATGTATTGTTGTGACTGTTCTTTGAGCATGCTTAGTTTATAAAGGTAATTTATTTATATATTATAAGTTTATATATGTTGAATTTGCATAAGTTTTTAAAGGCTGAATTTGTACATTATAAGTTTATAAAGGCTGAATTTGTACATTATAAATGTAAAGGTGAATTTTTACATTATAAATGTAAAGGTGAATTTGTAAACAATAAGTTTATAAAGGTGAATTTGTATAAGTTCATAAAGGTGAATTTGTATATGATAAGTTTATAAAGGTGAATTTGTATATTTTAAGTTTATAAAGGATACATCTCTGTGAAGAAGTCTATATGTGGTGGTTGTAAAATATCTACAGATGATAACACCTGAAATAAAATAAAATATAATATAATAAAATCATTATGGTGGTAATAATAATTTGCTACACAAATATGGCGGGCATTACATAATCCATTTAATATGTAAGCCATCAAATAGTCTCTAAACGTCTTAATTGTGGCAACAGAGTCACGTGTAGTTCTTGCATAAAGGGTATTAATGACTTTAAAAATGTCTAAATAATAATATATATAACATCTGAATTCTGAAACTATCGTGGAAACAGAGTCACGTTTAGATCTTGCATAAAGGGTATCAAAGTCTTTTATCATTCTATCTTTCACAAATATTTTTAACAATTAAAATTACAAATCCAAACCCGTTTTTTGTAATTAATTTAGATAATTACAAGTTTTAAACAAAAAACATCACAATTTTAATTTAGATAAACAAATTTTTAATTAAGATTCCAAATCAACAACCGACAGAACACAAAGAGTAGATTATTAATAAACGAAACATTATACTCTACTATATCCTATAATATTATCAGGATTTTCTCGTAATAAATTTTAATTCCAGACATTCTCATGAAACTAAAGAGATAAGTTTTCGAGATAAAGAACACAGCGTAGAAAGTATATCTCTTGTTTGCTTGATTGTTTATCAATATAAATGAAACTGATAAAAGGACTAACAGGACAATCAGACATGCTCTATTTACATTATAGTAATTAAAGATTTAAAATTACAGCACAGCTTTATCCTGTCTATTATTTAAAATGACATCACATCTAATTATCACTAGTGAAAATAGTAATACATGTTACATGTAAGTGTTAAGGAGTGTGCGTTCAATATCAAGACTTCATTCAGACTTTGGCAACCATAATACCTCATAACATATGGCATGGAGAGAGAGAGAGAGAGAGAGAGAGAGAGAGAGATGGGGTTTAACGTGGACTCGACATCTAGGTTCGATTTTATGTCAACAATTCGCTTGCGCGCAGGGGTCTTTAGCAGTGGGGGGAAACCAGAGTACCCAGAAAAAAAACACAATGTTATACTCCTTGTCACGTATAACCAGGGATTCGATACCAAGCCAGCTGATTCAATTACAGACCTTATGACACAAAGCGCATCGAGCTAACCATTCGGCCAGCCAACCCCTCACGTATGGCATGGAGTGTGTCTGCCTTTATGAGCCGGCTATGCAGAAATGTTGAATATTAAGCGAGTTATTATTACAAATACAATCAATTCATGAGGATGTACAATCTGGAGACTGTTAATTCCTAATCTAGAAACAAAATCTCACATAGATGTACGATTATTCTGTTGTTAACGGGCGATGTACAACACTCCGCTTTCCAGGTTCCCCTTGAATACATCACATGGCTATATTCCTGATGTCAACGGAATGTGTACACTGCCCCCTCCCCGGGTTCCGCTAGAAAACATGCCATGGCTATACTTCTGTTGTTAACGGGAGGTGTACACCCCCCCCCCCTCTAGAATACAAAGGGAAGTGTACACCCCCCCACCCCGGTCAACCTAGAGCAGTTCCTTTGGCACTATGTTAACGGGTGGTGTACTATCCCCCTCCCCGGCCCCTGTAGAAAAGATCCTAAGGTTATAGTACTCCTGAATACAAACATGTCAGAAGTTTTTCAGTCAAGTATACGCCACCTCCATCTGACACTTTTATAGATCGTTTGTTATGTCTTTAAAAAACATTGACAGGCTATAAATAGTTCAAATAAACTGAATAAATACCATCGATGTATAATAGTTCTCAATTCAAACATGTAGCATACTTTTGATATAAACCAAGCAAGGTCAACAAAGAATATATCTTGCCTTGATATTTGTCGTAACATGAATAGAGTATTTATTGAGACCATTGATCCGTGACCCCCTTTTCACTCCTTTCGTAATCGTTATTTATTAACTTACAGTAAATAATGCAGGATGACATTTTAAAGAATATTTATTTTTTCTCAATATCTAACTTTCGTAAAAATATCATTTCTACTCCTTTCATAATCGTAATTTATTAAAGTAGCTAAGTCTCTAAGTCAATATCATCCAAAGTCTTTGACATTGACAACACAAATTATTTGTCAATTTAAATCAACATTGATGTTGTGATCTTATCGGGAAACGATGGGCTTCTGATATCCAATATTTAAGACAAAATAAGCATTTTACCATTGGTACACGAATCGTGTACCATGCATGCGTTTCAGCGCCATTTGTAACAAGGGACTCGAAGAACAAATCTTCACATATTCCACAAGTCATGTCAAATTGTGATGCCATATTCTTATCTGGAGAGCATGCGCAATAGATACTATCGGTGTAGACCGGAATAACCGGACGCTAGAGATTGCCATTCGATTGAAACTTCTGGCATATTTCGCCGAAGATAACTGATTTGAAATGAGATTAAAAATGGAAACCCATGAATGTAAATCAGTTTATATACATTCATATTACATTATATGTGCTGCGACCCATTTGTGTCAATTTCTAGGTCCCAAATATTAGCCATTTAGCTCCTTTAACTTCAGTACAGTTAATAATGGAGGATGGCATTAAAGGATTTTTTCAATATCTAACTTGTGTGAAAATATCATCTCTGGGGAATTTTGTGCCTCTCTTCTGACATTTTATGACATAATTAATCTACATTAGCATAGTATTTTGTGCCTCTCTTCTGACATTTTATGACATAATTAATCTATATTAGCATAGTATTTTATTTGTAATATTGAACATTTCTCTATAATAACAGGGGCTAGCCCTAAGTATTTCTCTAGTTAACAGGGGCTGGTCCTCAGTATTTCTCTAGTTAACAGGGGCTAGCCCTCAGTATTTCTCTAGTTAACAGGGGCTAGTCCTCAGTATTTCTCTAGTTAACAGGGGCTAGTCCTCAGTATTTCTCTAGTTAACAGGGGCTAGTCCTCAGTATTTCTCTAGTTAACAGGGGCTGGTCCTCAGTATTTCTCTAGTTAACAGGGGCTGGTCCTCAGTATTTCTCTAGTTAACAGTGGCTAGTCCTCAGTACTATGTATACAGAAACCTGTTAATTTCATGTCTGACTACCACACCCTTTCAGAAATGTTCGATACACGACTGAGTACTTTTACACAGGTCAATTAGTAACAGACAAATTATATAGCTAATAACTACAGTACATTAAGAGTGTTCAAATCAATATCTGACATAAAATCAATTACAGTTCTATTATTGATACAAGTTGATTCATACAGGGACGAAAGTACATCACAGTACACGTATGTATTAAATGATGTAAAAAAAAACAATGGCTGCATTAGGTTTTAAAGGGTACTTGTCCAGCATAAAAAATTTGATTGGCCATAATTAGGCAGGTGAAATATACTGAATTATGAGCTAAAAAAAAATATGAAATGCTCAAGCACAAAAAACAAGGTCAATTAATGTCCAACGAATGATGAATTGGAAAGGAAATGGGGAATAACGTTCTACTTTACTGCTCCGACTGGGCTAATGAAAACGGGTATACACCATACAGTTTCCTATGAGGGAAATTTTGGTCAGACAGCGGTGCTACAACTTACTCTTGTTTCAAATTCAAACTGCAAAGAGATCTTTTACGTGCACATTCGAACGACTATACGTTGTCCATTGCCATGGCCCCTATTTTAAATTAAGTTTATACATAGATGTACTTACATTGTCATGTTTAAAATGACACAGCATACGTAACTCTCTATAAACACGTTTACACGATATTAAATTTTGGAAGACGTTTGGCATCTTCTTGAGTGCAACCCTTTTCCCATCTCGAGGATCCGTTACTGCCCTGAAAAATACAACAAAATCACATGAACTTCAATAATAAAATCTTAAAAATAAAACACACTTTATATGGAAAACAATCACTGATTTATATACATATGCTCAATTGTATAATGCTACTCAAGGTTTAAACATCCATGATGCAAGAGCAAAATCTGCATATTACAAGTCTTTCTTTAGGCCTGAAATGTTATCTAAATTATCAATTAGACATTAATTAACTTATCTAGACCATAATAAACTCTCGATGTCAAGGCTAGCCTTCGATGTTGGCTGGATTAGATTCCTATATGCCACTTAACGGCCATTGATAATTAAATCAAAAAAGTGGATAATCGAGATTGTGCTGTTTATATTAATGATTTTAGTAATGATGACCGAGACTATGCGAAAATTTCACCCGCTTCGTTCTCGGCTCATAGTGGATCAATTTGACTGAAATTTTCAGCAAATTACCTATACACTATCTAGTTTTTAACTATTATAACGAGAACTGCCACCTCTTTATCTTATCTCCCAAGCTAAAAGAATGGTGTGAAGACATTAAGGTTGAATTTTGTCGACTGATGACAACTGACCAGACCAGACAGACATCAGTTGCTGGTAAAATTGATATTTTATTTATCTCATAATATTTTATGATATTAATGTTGAAGTTTGTACACATGTTGTACAATATTAGATAACGTTTCTAGACAAACATTGTAATAGCATACAAAATACATGTACAGGTCACCATATAACTATCTTTAGCTTCTCAAAGAGACTGGCCACACCTCTTTAAGGCCGACACCTGCTGTATGAGACAGAGCAGAATGAAGGGAGGGGCAGGGGGTGGGGGGTTGGGGGGTTGACGTCCTACTTCTCTGTACAAACGTACCAACTGGATTAATGAAGGTGGACATACAAGACAGCAGACCTACAGCCCACACTTATATCAAATCCAAATTGTCATGGGTTCTTTTACGTGCACTGCTATGTCTATAGGTGACCTCAGTTTTTGGTCCCATCCACACTATTCCCTGTCAGGCTTCTCATCCTGCACCAATAAGGGGATACCACGAGGGAAAATCACAGGGCGTTTTCTCGACCAACGCGGGAATCGAACCCTGGATCCCTGGTTAGTGAACCAGCACTTTATGCACTGAGTCACAGCGGCTCTAGGAACTGGGTCAAACTGAGCCACGGTGGCTTTAGCAACCGGGTCAAACTGAGCCAACATGGCTCTAGGAACCAGGTCAAACTGAGCCATGGTGGCTCTAGGAACCGGGTCAATCGGAGCCACCATGGCTCTAGGAACCAGGCAAAACCAGGATGTTTCCATCATATAACAAAAATGTTCCGGTAGGATACAATCTAAAGTAGAGAAGGTTAATAACAACATGACAATTTACAATATAATACAATACATCATAACTTATGGTAAATAATGTTTATTAGTTAACTACTGGCAAAAGGTTAAAAACAAAACTAGGGTTATTAAGGTTACAATACTAACACAGTTCACTGTATACATGTACAGTACATGTAGTTATTTAGGGTTCAGATTATCTTCCTTTGTTTCCTCAAATTATAACAAATATTTATCATTGAATTTTGTAAATAAATAAATTAATTGGACAAAGATATATGATTGACATATTGTATACCTACATGTATATATAGATGTATGGGGGCCACAGTGGTTCAGTGAGTAAGACACTGGTTTACTAACCAAGGGGACCTGTGTTCGATCTTGGTATTGAGAGAGAGAGAGAGAGAGAGAGAAATGGGGTTTAACCTCCACTCGACACAAACTAGGTCATTTCGGGACTAACACATGGTTCAATTTTATTTCAATAATTCGTTTGCGTAGGGGTCTTTAACAGTGGGAGAAAAGCGGAGAACCGGGAGAAAACCCACAAGGTTTGATCTTAGTATGGACAAACAGAGATCCTCATGTCATTTGCCTGTGTGTGTGTGTGTGAGTAGGGGGGGGGAGGGGAAGCTTTATTTGAAATTTCCCTCATAGCACACTGCATGTGATTTGCCTCTGTGTGTGTGTGGGGGGGGGGAGAGCTTTATTTAAGGTCTGCTTGTACATGTAGACATATAAACACAGAGCGGAGTTAATTAAAACCATTACTCATATAATTAACCTTTACGTTTAACTAACACAATATTGACTCAATGACATTTTCACTACTGCCAGAAAATAATTTCAGCTGCAGGTGACCCATTTCAACCCAGGTTGAGGACCTTGTCACTGACTTCAGGTCACGTTTGTCACACATTGGGTCCATATTGTCTTCAATTTAATCTCTTTAACTGTAGTTTTAACTGTTTAACGCAGCCAGAGATTAAATGAAAGCTTGGCGTAATATTGATTGCGGAAGCCATGTCAAAACTAACTTTTTAACAATAACAGTTGACACTAGGTGCACCAGCTATAAAAATATATACTCGTATGTAATTAACGAGGGTTTTTTTTTGTAAAGTTTGAAAAGTGTTTTGAGGACAGTTTCTTTTTAATTTTTAACGGAATGAATTAAAAGGTTTTATGAAAATAAAATGAAATCTGGTTTAATGTCCTATTTTTCTGCATATAGCATGGAATGGAATAGTTTGTTTATACGGTCAGGTCAAACCCATCAGATCGTTGACATGTATTTAGCTCTAATTGATGAGGGCCTGGCAAGGGACAACGCATACATGTAGTCGTTCAGATGGAACGAAAAACGAGGTCCTGTGTACATATTGGCGTACCGTAAAAGTTTCTTCATAGCACACTACAAGCTGTATGCCAGTCTTCATTAGCCCAATTGGAACAGAATAGTAGGACGTTAAACCCCATTTCATTTCATAGCTCACTGTATGGCCTGTCAGTCTTCATTAGCGCAGTTGGAGCAGAACAGTAGGACGTTAAACTCCATCATTTCATTATCCAAATAAAACTGTAACATATGTTAGTCCCGAAATGACCAACTTTATGTTGTATGGATATTCTCTCAAATTGGCGACTATTCTTAATGGATGACTAAACACTGTCTGTTTCACATAGTTACATGTAAATGCAATCAATTACAGTCATATATGTTAATTTGAATCAAACATTTTACGACTACGGGAGGGGAAAGCGTACTCCACTTATGACAGACACGCACATTAAGGCGATTAGCCTTCAGGGAGAAATTATTGACAGATTAAAAACCAATACTGATGTCAATGTCCAACACTTAATGGTTTGATAGTGCTTCTTGCTTTAAATAGCTACTCCCTAAAGATTCTACCGACATTGTCACATGGTGAAGACGGAGTACACTGGTGTTGAGAGAATAGTCACGGTTGAAAATCTGGTCGAGATAAATTGGCTCCTTGACCACAACGTACCTTTTGAATTCAACATGCAGACATACAGTAACACACTAATTAAAATAAAAAAGATGAAATAAAAAAAACAAAATGTTTGACTACTGGTCTTCTACTATATACATTTATCAACTGGAACACATTAGATTGTAATTTGTTTCAAAACAAATTCCAACTCACAGAAATCAATATGGTTCTCTATGGTGTTGTCTGTTTGAAATTCTATACTGGGTGTTCTAATGGATAATGTACATTATGTACTTTGAACATGATGAATGAACAGTTTAACGACTGTATAATATTTATTACATCAGCTAGACATATACAACACTCAGCTGTATAATATTTATTACATCAGCTAGTACAATCTTTGTATATTATTATATACAACACAATATATTTCTATATTTACATGTATGTACGAGAAACTGATCCTAAAGAAGCGCCAATCATCTTGCTGTTCTTCTTGAGGGTCGACGTTCTTACGCAAAAAATAATTGACAAGTTTGTTCCTTGGACTGACAGTCTTAAGTTTTTGACATGTCGTCACAATTCCAAGATGGCATTGATAACGTAATACTCGGTTAATATACCATCATGCTTAATGTCCTGATAAACTATAGATCATTTACATAATATAAATCTTCTATTGGAGTCACAGCTTCTCGGTGGGTAAGACGTTGGATCTCAGTTTGGGCAAAAATTCCTTCATACCACACTATACGGGGTACATGCATGTCCGTCTTCATTAACCCAGTCAGAGCAAAACAGTAGGACATTAAACCTCATTTCATTTTGTGTAAAGTTTTACGTTATAATGACAGACCTTCTGATACAGCGAGCACGCGCTAACCATTCGGCCATCCAACCTCCCATTTTTGATGGGTATTAATATGATAATGTATTACATATAAGTTTATGACTGTTGATAAACATGTATTTTTGATAAGGGAATTAATGAGGATTTATTAAGTTTATGACTGTTAATAAAGTTCATATATTTGGTCCGCCTATAAAGTCAATAACAACAATCAACAGGTGAAATTAGGTTTGAATTTGAACCCATCGAGTTGAGGTCAACAGGTGAAATGAGATTCATACAGTACTGATAATTTTTCTGCATGGCTACCTGTATTATAATAGTCATGGTTTATTTAATTCAGGTGTACTATAGGTAAACGTCCCACCTTTATATAGGATTGAGTCTATTCATCAGGTACTACCATTATATATCACCTTATACCTGTCGACACATCAAATCATGTATTTAAATTAAGGTGTGATTTGTACCACTTTCATTTTATAATTGTGTTAATCCATTTTCTGGTAACTGCGTGGTTTTCAATCAGGGAAAAATGAAATGAACTAGGGTTTAATATCCTAGTGTTTTGCTCCAACTGGGCTAATGAAGACGGGCATACACCATACAGTGTGCTATGAGGGAAATTTAGCCCGGACAATAGCCCTATATCAAATTTCAATTGTCACAGGATCTTTTACATGCATGCCAATATGTACACGGGACCTCATTTTTTCTCTCATCCTGCACAACTGACAAGGGGGAAACGAATGGAAAGTTTTCAATCCTAAGGGCATTAGAAAACTTATAATACGTTGTGTATGTACTCAGTTTATCGTGTGTACGTATCGTGTGTA